GATATGCATGTTCATAAGAAAATCTTGGAAATAGGAAAATAATACCATTACAAATACTGAGAACCAGAAATTCCCAGAGCCACACATTTTACAAATCGTCTTTAACTGTTTTGAATATTTATTAATTCTAAATTTAAGTTCAGATCATTAAGCCTGAGCATTTCAATTTCTGTTAATTAATTTGTCTTTTTAGAAAAGATTTTAAAGTACAAATCAGATGTCTAATCACTTTCAAGTTTCACCATTGCTCACACCGCCAAAGTGATTTTAAGAGAGAGCATTTGAGGAGAGAAACAAAAGAGAAACAACCACTGTTAAATGAGAGGGCGGAAATGCTTCCTGTGCTTCTTCGCTTCACTTCCCACTCCCTTTCTCTACTGGTCTGTAATTTAACTTGTCTCAAAAGTTTTTACGATACTTGAGCAGTTGTGAAGGATGGACGCTCACATACATATTCAAGCCTATGCGGTTTATTTATAATTTGGCACCTTTAGAAAAAAAGAGAAAGGATTAAAATGAGTTGTAATGTGACATAATCTGAAACTTATTATGAGAAGTAGCTACAATCAACAGACAAAATTTTTCTTTTTACTGAAAATCTCCCTCTCAATTAGGCAGGAAGGGTGCCTGACTTCCGTGTAGTGTAGCATTGTTTGTTATTGTTTCTTTCCCTTTCATAGTTCTTTCAGAAAATGAATGGCCAAAAAATAGGTAAGAAGAGAACAATACTGAGTTTTCTTTTCCTGTGATCTTTTAACGGCTCTAAAGCAGTATGACGGCAGATGAAGGAATAGTGCCCAAAATTTTAAATTTGTAAAAACTTAGTCCCGGATCATACGTTACTTTTCATGAGTATTACTGTCATTGCACATATAAAGTAGCCAAGAGATACAGTGATCAGTGAGTTTCCTACACCCGAACGGGAGAACAGAATTCTGTCTCCCCGTCGTCCTCTTTTTCTCAAAGACACAACAATCATGGTTAGATATTGACAGTGATCTCAATGTACATAAATGGTTTTGTACTTAGCCTATCACAGTGTTCCTGAGAAGGCACATTTTACATGGACATGTATTATTTAGTATTTATAATTCCATGGAAGAGACTCACCCCTTTCAGATGGGAGGAGTTCAGAGAAGAGGTCACACAGAAATGGTTTATGCATTAATGATGGTCCTTTACCATCTTCATTAAATTGTGAAGTTACATGGAGAGGTGGCGTTAATTAATAGAACTATCTAACATCTTCATGGCTGCTATGAGGTGTAGGAGAAAATGATTCAACTTTGTGAATTACTGAAGTTTTCAGACTCTGGTATATGTAGTATCAAATCCCACTGGAACCTGAAATTCAGGTTACTAGCATCAGTTTGCTTCATTCGCTCTAACCTTTCTATTGTAATAGGCAAGGGCACACTGTGTGCATTAAGTCTCTGGGTCAACTGGAGACAGGAGCATAATTTGATCCATAGAGCACCCTCTTGAGTTTGAAATTATAGCGACCTGATGGAGCATACAAAAATAGAAACTTCTACTTTTTCTAACTATATAAATAGGGCAAATGGATTTGCCTGGAATTCATGATTCTACTATGTTTCTTGTTCAAAAGCTTATGGCTACATCTGCCTCATTTTGTTGTTGATGCTAATTTGGAGTAATGAAATATGCTCACAGGTGTTAATACTACAGACAAAGATTATGGAAATGAAAAGTGATAACAGGAAAAATAAAATCAACCTGGACTTTACTGAAAGTTATTGGAAAAGAGTTTAGAAATGATACTCTAATGTTCCCCAAACTCCATTAGCCTAATGGAAGAGGACTGCACGTGTGTGTGTGTGTGTGTGTGTGTGTGCGCGCGTGTGCGTGTGTGATCCTGATGCACTCACAGTTGGCTGAAGCTAGATTGGCAGTAACAGCTGCCCCCAGTGTCAACAATCAAGTACAATGAAGTGTGGCAACCCCCCGACTGTTTTCCATTCAAATGAGTTATGAGTTCTCACCGTTCAGAATCACTCTTATTTTAAAAAAAGTCGAGTTTTGAGAATTGGGGAATATCCACCTGGCAGGGAAATTTTCATGCTTTGAAAAAAAGTGGAAAAAAGAGATTACATTAGATCAATCAAAGTCCCTGGAAAATGTTAAAGTGAGAAGAAAAAAAAAATCAGAGCACAGAGAAATAACAAAAAAAGCAATCCAGGGGAACCCATTAATAAGAATGAGTGTCAGTGTTACTGGGTCCAAGGACTCTGCTCCAACGGATTAGAACATGGAGCACTGGATCAGAAATGCGCGGAGGCAACTGTGACCGGCAAGGGGCCTGCTCCAGCCCCGACATCAAAGCCTCACTGGAGAAAAAAATGCTTGGTTTCTTGTAGCTTAATCCAACATTACACACTTCTTTCAAACTGCTCAGTCTTTGGATTGCTGGGCATTCTTACTACTAATCCAGCCTTAATTATAAAAATTTTATACTCCCTCAGTTTCCTTCCCCTGCACCACCAAATGCCTGCTTGAAGGGAGAGGCATGGGAAGTAGGTGAAGGGAAATTAGGGAACACTCCATGGTGAAAGGGAAGTTGTTTCTTACCTAGTGTCAGAGCTAGCCAGTATGTTCTAGGAATATCTATACGTAAAGATATTCTTCATAAAAACATTCATTCATGTGGTCCCTTTGCTTGATAGAAAAATTAGTGTTTTTTTTTCTTTCTAAACTCTCTCTAGTAGACAGACTTACTCTCACCCTGAGATATCTTAAGTGGCACTGGGGTCCCACAGACCACTTTAGGCTACTCATCTCAAAAGGTAAAGGCCATATATTTCTTTTTAACCACATTTTACCCAGGGACATTGATTTGTAGTCTTTTTGTGCCCTTAGGCCTCAAAGTACATGCCATTGGTGCCTATGTACTTGAACTTGAATGATGTCAAGTCACCAAGTTGCATAAATTACCTCGAGAGCAAAACAAATAAGTTATTCCAGGCAATTCCCATGAAGAGCCTACATTTATGGCTTCCTACTCTTTCCCTAATGATTAATATGAGCTTATCCTTTTTCTCCCCATAACATCTCTCTAAACGCTTGTAGGCAATTAACATGTCTCTCTTTCAATTGTCTCTCCTCTAGTCTGAACATGCCCATTGCTCACAGGTCTGTCTTATTTCCAGACCTTTTATCAGTTCAGTTGCTTTCCTTTGAACTCACTCCAGTTTGTCTTTCTTTTCAAACATGGGATATCCAAAACAGAACACAACCCAAGGAGGCCTACATGGAGGAACTCAAAGCAGTAAAAGTGGCGTCTTTCTTTTTGCATTCCGCTTCAAATCTAGTTGCATTAAAGTCTTTGCCGTTATTGGAAATAGATTTTTTTTTAATCCCTCTATGTTTATTGCCCACAGTCTGTAACACCAGAGCCTTGGGTACAATTAAACTTCCTCTTGCGTTAATGTGAACAGATGATTCCTTCATGTGACTATTTTATATCTGATTTCAAGCAATTTTTCCAATGCAATAGAAGTCATTCTGTATTCATAGCTCTCTTCAATGGCCTTTATGATCACTTATCGTTTTATTGCTCATGAACATGTTTAATAATTGGTTATCTTTTGGATTGTGTTTCTCATTTACAACACATCACTGAATTATATGGAGGAGAAAACAGTGTCTAGTGTACATTTTTTTCAAACATGGCATTGGTCTATTAGCAATTATTCTGCCACCCAAAAGATCAGAAACAATAAGCTATCCATCTTTTAGTAGTTTCCTCTAATCCAGATTTCTCTGGTTTCTCTATAAGAATGCCACCCCCTGCTTTTGAAAAGAGGACAGGTGTTAAAAGACAGCTGCACTAGGTCTCTTCTGGCAAACTCCCAGCAGTGAGGATCCTCCCACCCTCTCTCAGAGCTCAATCCCCAATTCGCCTCACCTCCTTCACAGACCGTAGACATGTTACAGTTGGAATGGTAAAGGCTACACTCCAAACAGGGATATATAATGGTTAATTATTAATCAAGTCTTTTTATTTGCAAATTTACTGCTATGGATGATGACTTTAACAGATGTATTCTTCCAGAAAATATTGCTATAGGAAATGGTTTGAGGAAACGAACATTGGAGTTTTTTGGGAGGAAAAATACATATTTATGATATAAGAAATTCTCATAAATTATATCTATGAGACATCTAAAAGCTATTTATTCTTTACCAATCCCTGACAGTCCATCCAAACAGTGGCAAAATAAATCCATTAAATCTGAGCAGCATTACGTTAACTTTTCCAACAAGATAGTCCTCATAGCAAAAGAGAGAACTTATTTAGCAGTGTTCTGAGGTATAGTCTTGAGTGGTCAGTTATAAGAACAAAATTACTTTGAAATCTTGTATTTTATCCAAAACAGTCACACGAATTTTGAAATCTACCCCATTACCTGCCTGTGGTTGATTTCATATAAAAGTAGTACTTTGGATTCAATACCAGTTAAATTCTACCTTGATTTTTCTCTTTGGCTAAAAGTGTGAATATAAGATGAATCACATTGTTTCCGATATTGTAACATGTAATATACTCACTGATCGATTGTTTATCATCAGATTCCTGCCCCAGCTTCTAAGTACAGAAAGGCAGGAAAGACCCACAGGGCCTGGAGCAGTGATTGGCATATAGTTGAGTCTACACAAATATTTGTTGAGAGAAAAACTTAACCTCATGTGGCTCCCTATGCCCCTGGTATAAGAATTTTCAGAAACCTTGCCATTCCTTGTGAGATGCAGGGATTTAAAGCAACTTGGTGATCAAGATTCACCACGTAATCTTGAAATGACTATCATCTAACCAATTTGAACAAACGAGCCAGACCACTTGACTCCATAAACTTCTTGCATAGCCTCAACCACATTGTGCTTAATGTCATTTGCTTGTTTGTTTTCCTTATTGAGTAGGGAAGAAGAAAGGGAGAGCCTGAGGGCAGATACAGTATAATATTCACCTTTCTCTTTCAAAGGGACACATGACTGAAGGAATGAATGAATCCATGGACAATGTCTACATGATTCCACCTCAGAGGACAGGTAAGAGAAACTCATTTTTATGCGATCCATGATATGGCCCCAAATATTTTAAAGTCCTCCATAATCTGATTATTTTTCAACCTTATTTCCCACTTTCTGTCACACTGACCAATAATATAGTAGGCGCTTGGCACATAGAAGGAGCACAGTCAATGCCAGGTTCCATTCACAGGAGTATGTGTGTGGTAGCCAACAGTGTCAGTAAAGGCTATTTTCAACATTCCTGGCCATTTCTTTAACTCAGCCAATGATGTTTACTAACCCTCCTCCCCAAACACACAGGTTCATATCCCAGCTCATATTCACTTTAGTTATTATTTAGTTATATACATATAATATTTAGTTATAAATTTAGTTATATCTTGTGACTTCCCTACTCATAGAGGGCTCTGTGCTTCTTCTTTAGCCATTCTCACTCAAATGTGGTCGAATTTTCACCTCTTTTCTTCTGAGCTCTCCAGCCTCTTTTATCTTTCTCATCCAAGAGTAACAATAGTTGAAACGCACATGAGTAAATTTAGTAATGTGTTATTTTGCATTGTTCACAAATCATTGCAGAGGTTCTTAGTCTTCTCTCGCCAACTTGTCACATTCCCCAGGACTGAGGACAGAAAGTATTCAAATATATTTTTGACAGATTCATAAATGTGTCTTTCATGATTCTTGATTTTATTTCCTTCTTTTAAATTATCACAGTTCAAGGGGGTGAGTCTAGCTCAGTGGTAGAGTATGTGCCTAGCATGCACAAGGCCCTGAGTTCAATCCCCAGTACCTCCATTAACATAAATAAATAAATAAACCTAATTACCTCCCCAAATAAATTTTAAAAATATGTTAAATAAATAAATAATTTAAAAAAGAAACAAATAAACGATCACAGTTCAAATGCTCATGAAAACATGGTAGGAAAAAGAAGATTATTAAAACATGCTCCCGTGAAAAATTATTTAAAATTCCTCTAGTTTGCAAACATCCATTTGGATGCTTATTGGAATGAAAGGCCAACGGGGGTTTAGTTAAAGATTGAAATGTTCTCATATTTATTTGATCTGTGGGATCAGTTTGGCAGTTCTGGATGACTTTAAACTTCATGGGAGTCATTTTGCAGGAAATTGCAAATTATTCTGCATCAGTTTTCTCTGTCTCTTATTCAATGCTGCCCTCACTTAAAAGGCAGCAAGGCTTCTTTTTTTTTTTTTTTTTCCCACTTTGTCCTGAGGGCTGTTGTAAATTGATTTGGGAGTGGAAGAGTTGGGAGTAAAGGAAACTGCTTCTCACCATCACATTTAACTGCCTCTTCACTTTTTGAATGCCTCATCTATTCTAATGATAAATGCTTTGAATTCAAGAGATTGAGTTGATCTTATTTTAGGGTATATTTTCTTTATTTAGAGTATATCTAGACACATTTAAGTTTTCAAACATGTTCTTTTTAATATAGTCAGAATATTATCATGGATGTATTAGTTATATTGCCCTGATACTTTCCAGAAGTTATAGCAATATCCTCTTAATGTTTACTTAGTACTTGTTTCAAAAGAAGATTGAATTAATCTAGTAAAAAGAACCTCAAGTACCTGTGTTTCTTGTCTGTTATTATAGTCGTAGCAGATTGCCAAGGTCCTAGAAAGACAAAAAGTCCAAACTCCAAAGGGAGAATGCAGTGTGCTATTTCCACATCTTGACCGGCAATAATAGCTAAAGGGTATAGGAGCATGTGAAGATACAATTTTATTTTTCCCAGAGCTTTGTTGGAGGTATAGAAGAAACAGTCTAGACATGATACTGGATTAAGAACTAACAACAAGAAGTTAGTGGATTATAAAAGCAGGAAAGAATAATCTCCTGAATACTTTGTTGGGCTTACCTTGAATGTCAAACATAGGCTCTTTTTCTGCACATGTTCTAAAGACAATAGCATTGTTGATAGTTTTCCCTGTGCATTTGCGAGGATGCTTTGTTGGAACCAGTCTGCCTTTGGCACATGGAGGCAGGACTGTAGTTGAAACAGCAGAAAGGAAATGCCAGAGAAGTTTCTCCAAAACTATAATATCTGTTTACATTTTTGTGTGGCTGAGAAAAACGAAGCCACTTGCTGAGTTGAGACAAAGGACTGAAAACAGAACGTTATAAGATGTTGCCGTCACAAAACCTTTAAATGCACACTATTCTGTGGAACTTGGCACAAGGTGCTTAGTCAGGAATGACCCTTTGGGTTAGTCATCCTAGTGGGTCGGCTTCTTCTTTGGAGGCTTATCAGAAGATTGTGTGGTAATGTGAAGAGAAAGAAAGAATGGAGCCCGAGGCTGAGTTCTCCAGGGTTGTGTCTTACAAACACTTCAGACAGGTCGTTCAGATCTTTAAAGCATTGAACCATTCCCACGTACTCTCTTTCGACGTTCTAAAAGTATTTTTATCCTCTTCTTTCGCCATTTCTACAGTGGAGGCTCAGAGAAGACAGAGGGTATGGGTTTCTTTTGAAAATCTTGGCAAGACGGGTACACTGTTCGGGGCAAAATGTGCCTTGGGGGTTTTGAATGTGTGATATCAACAGCTTACCTGTAGCCTTTCCAAAATCTCTCCCTTGCCTTTCAGTAACTAACAGCGTATCGGTGATAAAAATTCACCCACTGTGGGAATGTGACTCGCAGCTTTTATTCCTTATTTTCTGCCCTAGGCTGAAATGGTTATTTAAAAATAGGATTTAACTACAGGTAGTTCTTTTTTTTTTTTTTTAACATTTTTTATTGATTTATAATCATTTTCCAATGTTGTGTCAAATTCCAGTGTAGAGCATAAGTTTTCAGTTATACATGAACATATATATATATATATATGTATATATATATATGTATATATTCATTGTCACATTTTTTTCTCTGTGAGCTACCAAAAGATCTTGTATATATTTCTCTGTACTATATACAGTATAATCTTGTTTATCTATTCTACAACTTTGAAATCCCAGTCTATCTCTTCCCACCCTCTGCCACCTTGGCAACCACAAGTTTGTATTCTATGTCTGTGAGTCTA